TGAAGGAGCTCAAGAGTCAAGACTAAGTAGGGAACGTTATGAGACTCTGAAACATTTAAATAGCTGCAGAAATAATTTCTGAATCGCTTTTTGCAATGCAAATCAAACAGACGTTGGAAAATAAGAATCACGAGGCTTTATGGATTTATGTCAGAAAACAGCCTGGCACTGAGCAAGTGAAAGATTATGACAAGTTAAAACCTCATTTTTCTTTCTTTTCTGCAAAAGAAAAAAAAAAAAAAAAGAAAGTAATCGTGCCGTTCTTTTGCAGAATCACTTCACGCGGAGCCAGAGACCGTTCAGAGCCGAAGCGGTGGCTCTGCCGAGCGGTTTCGCGTTCCAAACGTACATATGTTGCACAGAGCATCTGATTATTCTTAGGGACAATTACTGTCAGGTTCCAAAATGTGCTCAATGAGCAGCAATCGGTGCTTATTCAGCTTTTAAAAGCCTATGCAAGGGAACGGTAGGTTACATTGTCTGCCTGAAGAAACACTTTGCCATCCGGAAACATCTGCTTTCTATTTAAAGCCGCGGCGAAGGAATGGGAGTGTCTTTCAAATATACTCCCTGAGCGGCGCACACCAAAGAAAAGGGGATGGAATTGGAGCTGAAGGTGGTTTCTGGGATCCACCCTGTTCTGCTGGTCCCTGCTGGGAGGGGCCTGTGGCCTGGTGGGTGAGGAAGTCCTGATTCTGTTGACTTCCCTTACTCTGATGTGGGTACACATTGGACCTGACAGCCGTGTCCTAGATACAGCGCTTGAACTTGCTCAGGTGAGGTTAAATGAGCTGTTAAAGTTGGGGTCTGTTTCTCTGAATTTCCCCGCTTCTTGTTGCTTGGCATCAACGTGTGACCCTTGAGTTCTCTATGCAGTAACCGTGTCCACTCCTGGCTGTCGGGAGGATGCAGTGAGACCATTGCCTTCTGTGAGGGACAGTGTCTTAGCTATCTGTCTCACCGCGGTGAACATGCAGCAGATTATCAGACCATATTCCTGTAGGGCAGAAATCTGGGTGTCCTTACCTGGGTGCCATCCTGTGCCAGGTACCGTAATCAGGGATGGGCTCAAGTCTCACGGGAAGTCTTCATTGCCGAAAGATCTGGTTTGGAGCTTACATGGTTGTTGGCAGAATTCTGTCCTCTGGGGATATTGGACCTAGGGCCTCAGTTCTCCTCTGGTTGCTGGCAGGAGTCTTCATGGTGTCTTACTACGTGGGACTCTTAATATTCTGGAAAGCCAGCAGGGGCGAGTTAGTTGAAAACAAGTTGCAATCCTCTATAACTTAATCACAAGGGGGGCAATCTGTCACCTTTGTTATATTCTGTTGGTTAAGAGAAAGAGTCGGACTAAAGTTCCAACCCAAAATTGAGGTAAAAGGATTGTTCACAAGTTCGAGGACCCCGTGGGGACTAACAGAGACCCTGCCTAAAATCCCCGGGCCCCAGCAAGCAAGCAAGCAACGGCCAAAACAAATGATGTCTCGCCTTCCTGGGAGGGGAGGGCATTATATTGGGAACCACACCAGAGACTGTCTACTGCCCACTGCTCCTGTCTTAACTATTCTTACAGGACATGGTTAAGAGGGAGTTAAAGTTCCCAGGTCTGCCACTTACTGTGTGACCCAGGCAGGTCTCCTGGCCATTCTGAGTCTGTCTCCCTACCTGTACCTTGCTTTATCCACAGGACTATTGTGAAACCCCATATGCAGAATGCTAAGCAGTTGGTAAATGTCAGCGCCTGGCTGTTCTTTTCATCCTGGCCTCTTTTTTTCCCCTCTTGAAATAACATTAGACTTTTTGAATATCAGAATAGCCTGGAGCTCCCTAGTACGCTCAGATTGGGTTATTCATGTGGAAATCCCAGTGCTGTGGGTGGCTTCCTGGGTACAGAACTTCAGTTCGACTGGATGTGAAGGTCTAGGTCCCGTCTGTCCCCACCCCCCACTACATATACCCCCATCCGCATTTGCTGAGACCTCAGGGTCAAGGAATGTAGCTCTATGGCCTCAGTAGAACCACAGTTTCTTGGTACAGTGAACACGCTCAGAATGGGCCTGGTGAGGGTCCCAACAGTGTCCCTCCTAGGCCTCTTCCTGTAGAAGGCCTGGCTGTGGTGGTGACCACGGGTGTGTCCAGATGGACCCACCTTTGTATTTCTAGTTGAGGTTCTGAGGACAACTCAGGGCTCTCAGGGTCCAGGTCTCAGAGGGCAGATTTGGAGATGGGGGCCAAGCAGACTACAGGCTACCCCGGCTGTATCGAGTCACAGGCTCTGCCATCTCACCTTGCCTTCCGGTCTTTCTCCCTGCATTTCGCTGTGATTGACAGCTACACCTCCCCACTGCTGCCGGCTTTAAGGCACAGAGTACAGACAGAAAAGTCACTGAGGGAACACAGCAGGCTGCCCCGCCTACCTTCTCCCCCTTCCTCCTCCTCTGACCAGAGGCCCCCCTGCCTCCTTTCAGCCCCCTCTCCCATCCCTTGCTTCCCCAGAATCGATTCTGGGTCCCACTGTTGGCCCCCAGAGTTGTAGGAGACCCTTCAGGAGTAGATGAGCCACCAGCAGTCAACTCTGTCATTGTAGGTAGGAGATGCTGGCTGTGGGGACCAAGTCCTCTATTGTGTTTTGAATCCTTATAGTGTGTAAGGAAAGCACTTCCCCTAACAGTTACCTTGTTATAGGTGAGACCTCAGGTCCTTTATTAGAGAGTCAGGTGCCAGGAGCTAGGATAGGCTTGGGAACTAGTAATTTTTGTAAAAATGATTATTGCTATCATGAAGGTTATCTTTTAAAAAAAAGATTTATTGATTTATTATGCAGTGTTCTGCCTGCATGTATGCCTGCAGGCCAGAAGAGGACGCCAGATCTCATTACAGATGGGTGAGAGCCATCATGTGGTTGCTAGGGATTAACCCCGGTACTCTGGAAGAGCATCCACTGCTCTTAACCACAGAGCCATCTCTCCAGCTCCAACTATCATGAAGGCTTAGCAAACTAGTGTCCCCACACTGCATGCTTATCCCCAGCCACAGCCGCTCTTCCTCAGGGGGGGATCAGGATCAGAGATCCTGAAAGCCTGGGCTCTGATCCTGAAAGGGGCTACAGCTTAGTGGCCCTAGGAGAGTGCAACAGAGATTTGGTGTGATTTAATGTGCCAACTTCTCCATAGTGACAGCTGCTCATTCCTCCTTCCTCTCCTGCTTGTGAGGGGCACAGCTGGGCCCTCCAGACGGCAGTCTTCCTGGCCTCACATTCATGAGTATGTGCTCCGCACAGCTTGGCCTCCTGACAACAGATGTGAAGCGGTACAGCTGGAATCTTCCTTTGGTTCCCACAGCTGTCACCCAGCCACTGGAAGACTGTGGGTTTGGGAGGAACCAAGCGAATGAACGCAGGGGTGATTGCAGGAGAGGCCTGCGCTCACGCTTTCCTGCTCCCCGGGCCTAGAGAGGAGCAGGCAGGCCAGCGTCTGCTGCCCTTCGGGAACACCAGCTCTAGAAGCGGCTCTGGTGGCGCGGTGTTCATACTGTGCTTCTCCCAGAAGTTTCTGCGTTGCTCTAGCCCTCTGCCGATTGCCATGATATCTGACATCCCTCGTATGAGGCTCAAAGAGTAAATTGCTTTCCTAGAATAAAGTTTGCCCTTGAGAGCTGTGTTTCCAGTAATGAGTCCTCTGCAGGTGCTGTTGGTGGAGGGGGTGGGGCAGGGCTCGGAGACTCTTCTCCTCAACACCTCCCCGCTGAAAGCACAGCACGGAGACTTCCTGGCCCTCTGAACTTCTGACATTGTTGTCATTTTTATCATCTTGTTGACATTGTTAGGATTTTAAAAAATTAATTTGACTAAACCAAAAATCAAGCCTTCAGATTTAATTTTGTACCTTTAATCAATATTTAAATAGTGGTTTTTTTTTCCACTTTATTTTTGCATGCCGGTTCCCCCTCCCTGTTTCTGTCTTATTTTGAGCACTTAAAAGAATTTTTGATGTAGTTTGTCTATAAAAGTTTTCTTCAGAAAGCAGATTTTGTGATGAGTCTGTTTCGTTTTTCTGTGGCTTTGCTAAGCAGGTCCCTCAGAGTATGGCTGTAGCGAATTCTATTCCAGCTTTAAAGTCTTTCTTAGTAATGCCTGTTGTCAGGACCTAATTAATTCTTTGCTAAACAGAAAGAAACGTAGATGATGTGTTAACTTGGTTAATATCTTTAGCAGTCTTGGGAAATGATCACGGGCGTATAGGAAGAGAAAGACAGCAGTTCAGCGTCAGACCAGAGGGGAGAGGGGATCGGTGAGGCATAAACCCAGACGGAAGGTCTACACAAAACACCTTAAACCCGATGGAAGGTCTACACAAAACACCTTAAACCCGATGGAAGGTCTACACAAAACACCTTAAACCCAGACCGAAGGTCCACACAAACTGTGAAGGCTCCACTGAACTGTAAGGCCCTTCCTGGTTGCAAAAGCAAACTGATATTTCTTCTAAGGATATAAAATAGTTTGACCCTTCAAAATACTCCCTCAAATTTGAGAAGTACTCAGATGAAACATTAAGCTTCAAATGGTTTACAAAATCCTAAAATTGATGCAAAATCTCCCAAAATAAATTTGTTAAAATTTTTCTAAAATGAATTAGTTCCAAAGAGCCCCTCACCCCTACAAATGCCGATAGGATGCCAGAGAGAAAACAAAACAGAACAGAACACTTGACAGGATGTAAAAACTCTCAATGAAGAGTTTCATTTTAAACCAATGGCTCATTAAGAGTTGCCCAGCAGCCTCGAGGTAGTTGCCCCTAAATGGAGTGTGGGTTTGTGGGCTACAGAACCTACCCACAGGGTAGCTCTCCCTCCTCCCTGCTCTGACTGTTCTCAGGCAGGTGGGTCTTTGCCGACAAGCTATTTAAAGTCGTCTGAGACAGTGGGTGGCCTAGAAATCATAAATGAAACATTAGGTCAGGTTCCGTTGGTTCACACACATCTGTCCTGTTTCAGAGAGCAGCCCATCTTCACCACCCGAGCGCACGTCTTCCAGATTGACCCCAGCACCAAGAAGAACTGGGTGCCCGCGAGCAAGCAGGCTGTCACTGTTTCCTACTTCTACGATGTCACCAGGAACAGCTATCGGATCATCAGTGTTGATGGAGCCAAGGTACTGCCCCGCCAGACCGTCCTGACCTCCTCCCTTAGTTTTGTCCAGAGCAATATGGTACCTTTGAACGATGGAGGGGAAGGCTGTATCCCCAACGTTCTGTCTTATCCCAGAGCTTACCATAACGTCTGCGTAATCACGTACCTTGCTCTTTCTTTTCCACCTAAAATCATACAAATGGGTGACAAAACACATTTCCCCGTTACCTCACTGTCTTCCTAATTAACATGTTAATGCCTGTGCAGTGATTACATTAAGGGCCTGTCACGATCTTAATTTCTTTATGATGTCTTCAGTTTCTTGCTGTTGCAGATATTAAGCATTCCCATGCAGAGAATAACCTCAGTTGTTCATTATATATCTATTGCTTCCTTTGGACTGGTTCCTCAGGGACGATCTCTATAGGTAATATTACAGGTCTTGCTATTAACCCTGTATGGCCCTGTGTGCACATGGCCAGAGCGCTTTCTCAAAGTGTCTTTCCTGCAGCCCATGTGAGGGTGCTGGTTTATTCCACCCTTGTAATCAATGAGTATTTCCTCTAATATGGCTCTGGTATTATTAAATGTGGGTATCGGTTTTCATTAAATAATTTTGGAGTATTTCTTTTCTTTTTTAAGAGTAGAACGATGTTATATACTCCAGGCTAGATGTAAGCTAGAGGTGATCCTCCTGCCTCAGTCTCCTGCATGCTGGCATGACAGGCATGTACCATTATATTTGATTTAGTATTTTTCGCGATACTTTTTATTCCTGATATTTCATTATTTTTGCTCCCTATCTGTATTTTTGCCACACTATTTGTGGATAGAGAATGAAGGAATGCCAGCAAAAGTACTCCCATGTCTTTGAAATTAAATAAACCGTCTGCATTATAGTCTGTCTGTCTGTAGTCTGTCCACTGTACGAGTGATTTTTCTATGCTGTCACCTGATACTCAGTGTGTTTGGAGGTAAAATCCCCTGTTTACCATCTATACCAAATCTCTACTTTTATTTTCTAGTATTTATTTTCTAGTATCTATAAAAACCAGAGTTTGTCTTATAGTTTTCGTGTGTGTGTGTGTGTGTGTGTGTGTGTGTGTGTGTGTAACTTTTGCCAGGCAGTGGTGGCACATGCCTTTAATCCCAGCATTCAGGAGGCAGAGGCAGGAGAATCTCTGAGTTCACCGCCAGCCTGGTCTATAGAGCAAGTTCCAGGACAACCCGGGCTACATAGAGAAACCCTGTCTCAAAACAAAGAAAGAAACAGCAAAATAAAAAACAGAAACAAAAAAAAACCCAAAACACCAAACCAAACAAACCTGCAGCTCTTGTCATAGCACCCCTGCAGCATCCCTGCAGCACCGTGCAGCATCCCTGTGGTCCCCTGTGGCTCCTGCCTCTAGGTCAGCTCTCCTAGACGACAGGAGGTAAAGAACTGAGAGCTGAGCAGTAGTGTCTCCTTTAGAAGATCCCCCAGGTAAGACACAAGACCCACCAGGGCCCCACGTCTGTTGCAGGCCCCAGCTTTCCTCCCAGTGTCTCCTTTGGGCCTTCATTCAGCCCTGTGATGTCTAGAGATGAAGCTGAGTGGTCTCCTGGTCCTCTCTTTCTCTTCCAATTTCCACAGCCCTTCCTCCCTCAGCAAAGGACCCAAATATCCTCATTTTTTATAGCTGAGGTCCAGGTACAGGTAGTGAGGTATACTCTGGGGAGGCGTGGCAAGCGGGTGCTGGTGTCCTGTCCCTACACCAGCAGGTCCTGACTTGCTGGGTTGGCTCAATGTTCACTCCAACAAGCAGAGAAGCATTTCCTGACATTTTCCAAGCAGGGGCTTTGTGGCCCTTGTTATTTCAGAGAACAGCAGTCGGTTCGATGAACTTTCGATGAGACTGAGGAAAAAGTTCTCCCACCCAAGCAGCTGAGATAGACTGTTGGGGACGTGGTAAGGGGTGGCCAGTAGCAAGGAACTGTGACAATGACGGACACGTAACAGTGCCTCATTTGTAACAAAGGACTGCTATCTGAAAGATGCCTTGATTTTAAAGTTTTAACTTATTTTCACTTCTGGGCGGCACAGCGGGGCTGCAGCTGTAATTACCTCTTCTCTGTGCTTCTGAGCCGGAGCTGATTGGGCTCTTTCCAGGGTGTTCTGATGGGGATGGAGAATCGGGCTGACCTGCTCGCTTTCATCCGTAGATTCTGTCAGTACAGCTGCCATCCTCAGGTGGGTTTGCACTCTTATCTGAGGGTTTACTGGACTTAACTCTAGATAAAGCAGCATCCTTACAGCACAGTGCGTTGGTTATTAGCGAGGCTTTTTAGGAACTTGTCAGACTGTCAGCCACCGTATCACTCTGCCTCTGCAGTTCCTGCAAGCTGCGGCAGCGTGCTGGAGTCCAAACCAGCTGAAATGGCTCAGAGGAGTCAGATGGGTGCGGGAAGTGAGCTGTGTGGTAACTGTGTAGTGGAGGTTACTCAGGATATCCACTGAGTTAGAGAGGCACTTGGGATTGGGAATGTAGGCCGTGTAGCACCACTGAAATCCAGAGACCGAGCCCGAGCATCTCAGGCTCCCTCCCGGCCGTGTCTCCAGTCACCTTGTGTTCTGGAAGCCCACCTAGGGTTCCAGCTTTACCACTGCAGTGCAGAGAACCGTGGCAAAGGGAGCAGAAGGCCAGGAAGTGTGGGGGTGGGTTAGGCTTAGTCCCTGAGTCACTACCCTTGCAGCCAGGAGCTAGGGACGGGGTCATGTCTGGTTTGAGTAGTACCAGATGTCCAGCCACCGTAGTCCAGCTGGACCCTCCCTTGACCCCACAGCACGTAAGACAGACAGGCAACATCTAAGGGAACCTACTTCCAGCTTCCACAACTAGACAGGGGGTGGAGACAGAGCCTCAGACCACAGTAGCTATTGCCACCCATCTTGCCCTTCTCTGCCCAATCTGAAGTCTGGATGTCTCGAGCCCCAGCTCCTGCTCTGTCTGAATACTCTAGATGTCTTGCCTTCCTTGCTGTGGCTGCAGTAAATGTAATATGCTGAGCTGATTGCTTGGCACCTGTGCTGGCCTGAGGCCGCCACTTCTTGACTCTGGTCTGTAGTCTCCCCTCAACATCTCTGTGCGATCAGAAGGGCTCGTTTCTCCTGATTTTTGAACATCCATTGTGGTTTCACGTTCACTTAGGCCTTACATCCCACAAATCATGCATGCAAGGTCCAAGTACCTGCTGTGGGCTGACTCCAGCAAGGACGCGCTCATGCCCTGGGGAATCATGGCTGTCTTATCACTCCGCTGTTGCTGCCTTCTCCACCACGTGAAAATGACTTTTATTTAGGGCCTTTGATTGTAAATGTTGATTCTGAACTGGGAACTATGTCTCAGCTCATGGGCTGTACTTTGATTACCCAAAGCAGGCCTAGGTCCTGCTTCCCTTTGTTGACCTGAACGTGTCAAACCTGTGGCCTCAAACTCGTGTTTAGCATAGTAGGCCAGCTGTGCCTCCGAAGGCTCAGGGTTTTGCTTACTAGGAAAGCGTCCTGTCTCGTCCCTCTGGGATGGAGTACATGCACTTTTACCACAAGATGCTAGGACGGAAAGGGACTCAAAGGTCATCTTGAGCTAAGGCCACACCAGATGCAGTGGCTACATGAACTCAGCTGCTGGAAGGGCACAGGCTCCCGTGGAGGGGAGGTGCTGGAAGCAGCAACGGAGCTGCTGTCATCCTGCCCCAGGCACGGCAAGTGCCTCTTCCCTGAGGTGACCAGAGGGCCTCCCCTACCTGAGCGTAGGACGATCCCATTCCACCCTGTTCTTCACTTTTCTTGAACCATGAAGACATTTCCTTTGTTCAGGCACAGTGTGGCATGTGTCCCTTCCAGTGTGGCCTAAAGACATGGCCTGGTGAGAGCCCTGCTTGTGTTCTACCTCAGGATTCCCCAAGCCCTGGGAGGGGATGTGGGGCCCACGTCTATGTGTGGGACTCCTGGATACTTGTTCCCTGCATGTAAGCCTGGGTAGAGGTATACTTGGCATGCTTACTTGTCTCAGCCAAGCTACAGGGGGAAGCACCATAGACGCTGTGATGGGGAGGAAGCTGTGATGATGTCAGGTCTGGCTATCCCTCTCCGGGTACGTACAGAAGGATAGTTAGCAAGGCCCTGTTAACTGCCGTTGGACAGATGGGGGGGCGGCCACAGAGTTACTGAGCCTAATTCCCAGCCCCTTAGAGCACTGCCGTGAGCCGTGGCTATCACAGTAGCCACACGATTTGTGGTGAGCTTGCCCAGGACGGCCAGCTCCATGATGAAGAAGGTTCCATCCCCTGAGCATTTGCTAACTGAGCCATCGCAGCCTCAATTTCACTGCCGACCTTATGAGAAGCGGCCTGCGCCTGTGAGCAGGGCTTGCCTGGCGCGGGTGCTTCTCTCGGGGACTCTGGATGACTCTCCTGCCCTTGGCTCCTGGCTATTTATGGGATCACAGAAAATCTACATTAGCAGAGACCTGAGAGGCCGTCTGTTCTACAAATATTAGCGGTGCTCACTGTGCCAGAAGTTCTGCCTGACCGTGGTGGTTCAAAGGAGAGAAGCAGCTGGAACCCTAGAATGCTTAGGATATTCTAGGAATGTCAAGTTGCTTTCAAAAAACACAATCAGGAGTCGGTAAGATGGCTCAGCAGATAAGGGTGCCTGCTGCCAGTCTTTGAAGTCTGGGTTTGGCCCCTGAGACCCACACGATGGAGGGCAAGAGCCAGCTCCCAAAAGTTGTCTCCTGACCTCCATAAATGCACAGTAATGTGCATGTACTCCCTCCCCCTCTCTTTCTCTCTGTCTCTGTCTTTTTGTCTCTGTCCCTGTCTCTGTCTCTCTCTCACACACAAATAGGTGTAATATTAACAAACAAAAGACAAAGGTCCTATCTTCTATCCACCGTTATAGTTTCCTCTTTTGAAAAAATGTCGAGCCCCTCTGTTAAAAGAGTGAGTTTCTGGAATGTTCTGACCACACAGTAGGTTTTC